ACCAAAAAAAAAAAACAAACAAACAAAGTAAAAGATACAAAATAGAAAATTAAAAACAAAAAAAAAACAAAAACACTCACGTTTACTAATGTTTTTACCGCAGAAGCGCTAAAATCTCTATATGAAAAACATTGTTTGCAGACCGACAGTTAAAAACGTTTTAATACCCGGTGTCATATCCCCTATGCCCCTGCCCCCTAGGCGCAATAGGCGCAGGCACAGACTTAGGGTACCCTGCAGCGAATGTCACTGTCCGAACAACAATCCCACCAAGCCCAGGAGCAACAACCCCAGCAAGCACAATCCCACCCCGCATCCCCTCGTACGGAGCAAGTCCGCAGTGGTGCGCTCGTTGTACAGAAAGATGCGTACGCCGTTCACGAGGTCGCAGACCGTCGACGAGAACATGCTGAGATATTACAGCCCGGAGACCAGCGAGTACAGCGTCTCCGAGGGTTACATGCTGAAGCCGGAGGAGCTAACCGGTAGCTCCAAGAAACGTATACCAGAGATATACGTGGAGGATTGCCTTCATGTCGACTTCAACGATCGTCTCATCGAGAAGTTTCGCGACAGGTACAGATCACCGTACCTACTGGACTCCGGTGCACGTAGACGTTCGCGTAGCTGGCAAGATCGTACAGGTCGAGGAGTCGCGAAATCGAGGCATCACCTGTTCTCAAGGGGTTTCCACGAGTTCACGGACGATCTGGGCATTAGGAATCTAGATGTTAGCTTACGACCGCGTAGATCTTTTTTATTCTCGAAGGCTAGGAGCTTCGACTACGACGTGCTGCACGACAACTACTCGGATCGGTTCGGTTTCGGTATAGGAAACGGGCTGTTATCGCGGCGTGCAAAGAGCTTCGAGTACGACAACATATCCAGCAACATATTCAGCGACGACAGCCTCAGAACTGCCCGTAGGAAATTGAAGAAGAACCTGGCTATAAACGACGCTGGTTACGGCGACAAGATACCGGCGTTAGGTGATCAAAGTAAATCGTACTTCGACTCGAACGGAGACGACAAGGTGCCTAAGATTCTGCTCGACAGGGAGAAGAATTACGACTACATGCTGAAGCAGGATCATAAACCGTTTTACGGGTATGATTCTGAGTTCAGCTGTGGCGAAACGGAGATTTACATGCCTCGTTTCGACAAACAGACGATAGATTTGGATTTGAGCAAGGGTTATCACTCGTACGAGTTGTCCGAGGAGAATTCTTTTAGCAGTGACGATCAGATCGGCCTTAGGAACGTTCTAGGTCGCGAAGATCCGACAAAGAGGAAGTACAGAGACTCCGCGTTTCAGGATCACGATTCTGCGTTTGGTAGAGACATATCGGAGAAACGAACCAAGAATCTCGACGGAGATATCTGCGATCCGACTAACGAGCACATCTACTGCAGCATCGACGAGGCGCTGTCGTCTGCGGAGAATTACGGTCGGGATAGAGACATCACGCGTTCCCCGATTCACACGGTTTCCGATTTAGAGCAGTACGATAATCGTAGGACCAGCGGTCGTTCTCGTAGACGAACGAAAAGTAGCGAATCGTATCTGGAGAATGGGTGCGATGGTTACGATTGGGACATCGAGTACGACGAAGGATTCATCGATCGAGGAACCGACTACGATCAGAGATTGTACGATTACGAGGACGAGAGACTTTACTACGACAGAAGAGAGGACATCGGTCGAGGTAGTAGACGAAAGAAGAGAACGTCGCAGTATGTGGACAGTGAGTATATAGACGATTATCGCGATTATAGATCAGCCGAGGAGTACGATTACCAAACGCACAGTGGTCCAGAGTATCAGGACAACACGATGCCTCGTAGAAGACGTAGGAGAAGTAGAAGAGGTAGTAGAGAGGCTAGCACAGGTATATACGAGAACGTTCAACCTTACAGAGACGGCTTGTCCAGCGTGAAAGACACGTTGGCCGTGCCGACCTTCTCCGAGAGCAAACGAATGATGCTACAACGAGCAGAATCGACACCTATCCTACGTTCCGACGAAGAACTGAGTTCTTCGGAGAGAGCGGAGAGAGCTAGACGATTGTATCGTCGTAAAAGAAACACCAGCTGTCCAGAGGCTAGGGAACTCCGTTACTACGATCCACCGAGAAGAAAAGATCACGAAGAAAGGAGCACGAACTTTATCCTGGACTCCGACGAGGATTTCGGTTCGATGGAGACGGTCGTGTGCGCGGATTGTTTCCGTCAGAAGAACGAGACGGTCGTTGGCGAGGGTACTAGAACAGGTTACTACGACGTCGAACCGATTCGCGACGGTTACGTAGACTCTAGATACGACTACGAGAACGTACCGGCTCGCGACTATCCGGATTCGTGCGAGTTAGCTAGGTCGGGATCGCTGAGATCGCAGTACCGCGGTAGGCGTAAAAGTAGCTGTCCAGAGTGTCGTGAGCTGGCTATGTCGACGGAATTAGGTAGGTCTGGTTCGTTGTCGCGTAAAAGTGACGAGAGGAGGCCGTCTTTAGAATCGAGGCATAGGTACCGTAGACGAAACAGCAGTTGCCCAGAAGCTAGGGATCTCGAGCTGCTCGAGAAGAGGCAGCAACAACAGTGCCAGCAACAAGCCCAGCCACACCAACAACAACAACAGGGTAGTAAGAGGAACGTAGCGATCAGCGACACCCTCGAGTACTACGAGTACTCGATGGAGAGCGAGAGCCAGTGCAGCGAGAACTGCGGATTTGGCCCGTGCGATCCGCGTAGGCCCCGTAACCGAGCACCCCACCCCGGTAACGCTAATTCAAGTCTCTTTGATTCCCAAACCGCTACCTCCGACACTGCTAAAAACTACCACCCACGGGCCGTCGATCACCACGATACCTCACGAAACACGAAACCGTCGCCGCGCGACAACCTCAACGATACCGGCGTGGCAACGTCCTCCTCCCCGACGTCGTCCGTGCGACGGCGTTCCCGGAAAAAAACCGCCGCCGATGACACCGCCGCCGGCGTCGACGATACGCGGGATCGCCGATCCTCCTCCATGCCCGAAAGCAGCGAGTACACCGGTCAGTCGAGCTCGTACGAAAAGACGTCCAGGAGCCAGCAGGGCGATAACGAGCACGACGACCACGGGAAACGTCAGTTCACCAGGAGCCTGAGTAACACTGACGCGCCGCAGGACGAGCAAGTTGGTAAGTCTCCACGAGTTACGATGTTTTAGGGTTTAGATTTGATTGTGAAAGGTCACATGGAGGATTCGTTCGCTGTCGTGAATGACTTGTGGCTATGAATAGCGCAGAGAATTCCCGAGTTTTGCTATAGGGCGATTAATTGATTCTCTGCGCAATTGATTAATGTTACTTGCTACTTATATTCGATAAGACTGAAGTAGTACTGTACTATTGTTGAAAATAGTTTAATAAATTCTGAAAGAGAAGAAATCGACGCGCAATTTATTCGTACATCACTCTGTTAGACAAAGGGATACGCAAATTTTAATTGTGAATTAATTATTGATATAAGTGGTATATCTTATAATTGACGTTTCTCATCTTAGGTCTGCTTTAGTTGGGATTCTACAGGTGTAAAGTTTCCTTTCAGTTCAGTTTTACCGTCTTTTTCTGATTGAGAATCTTCGAGCCTAGAGTTCCGAGTAGAATTCTCCAATTTTGAATTTCTCTCTAACTAGGAATCTCCAGACCTAGGTTTCTCCCTAACTGAGATCTTCCAATCCTACATTTATCCCTAACCGAGATCGTCCAATTCTGAATTCTTCCCTAACTAGAAATCTCCGAATCTAGGTTTCTCCTTAACCGAGATCTTCCCACTTTTTCTTTTCGTTACTTCGTACGCGAATGCTTCAAGTTTCACTGATCGATTCTCATCCCTCAGATGGTGATTTGAGCGATACGGCGATGGGTTTGAACGTGGAGGAATCGACGAGAAGGGCTCGCAAGAGCTCGCCAGGGAGTAAAAGTGGAAGCGGAAGTAGCAGCGGCGGTGGTAGCGCGGTGCAGTATCAATCGTCTGGCCTCGGGAAGAAGAGTAACAGCACCAGCCAGCTGTCCGCCACAGGTAACACATCGTCACACTACTCGTTTCTTCCGATTTCACCGGGTCTTTTAGACGTTGCCTTGCGGTGTTACTCTTTGTCCGCGCAATTTCAATATGACTCAAGTTGATTCTATTCACGCGCCATTACTATTCTATCCGCGCGATCACTAGACTATATTTCTTCTCTGTCTCTTCTTTCTATCTTCGTATTTTAATCTAGTCAGTCTCTTTTGTAATATATATATATCTACTTATCGATAGTCCCTCGAGTAATAGCGTAGCATTAGTTTAGCGCCATTAGTGAGTAGATCTACTGTGTGCTCTCGCTATTTCAAAAAAAAAAGAAAAAAAAAAACGAAACAAAAGACAGTAATCTAAAAGAAATTGTTCAGTCGTGTAATATGAAATATCACGTTTGTCTTGATTTAGATTCCCCAACAGTAAAACCGCACGAAAACCCTCAGAACTTTTTAACACTCTACTAAACCACCTTAAACGATCAATTTTCCAATTATTAGAAATCTATCATTTCATATTACACAAGCTAATAAAATCGATTCACTCGATAACATTACCTCACAAGATAATAGATGCAACAAATTAAAAAAATGAAAATAATTATCTCCTCCCTACACTTCATGGATTCTCGAAGCAAGAATCCGCGAAGCATACGAGAAACCGCCTAAACTGATATCAAGAGCACACGGTAGAAGAACAAAAAAAAAAAACCCATTAAACGGGACAGTATGTACATTCTAATCGTATTCTTGTTTTCTCCGCCATCCCTCCTCATCTCTATCCGCCTCTCTTCGACATGAACACATTCACACTTTACTTCTACCAACCAACTATCTCTCGACGCTGGGGACCATTCACGTCATCGATCTGCACCAACCTGCACGATTTCTCATCGCGGCGGGCTATATCGTCGCTCGCGCGATCGTGTCACGGGACAACACTCGACGCGGATCACCCCTCCCTCTGATCGATCGCTGGAACCGCGATCGCTCTGCTATTAAAACATCTCGCCAAATAAAAAAAAAAAAAAAAAAAAACACTCAAATCAACTTGTAAAAAAAAAAACCAAAAAATTCGTCACACCGTGTGTACTATACGCATATATCAAACGCACCGGGTATATGCGTGTATTACACCACAATACCACGTGTGAACAAAACACGACAATTACTGTGAAACAACATCTACTACTACCATCGCTACAACTGTTACTTCTACTTTTACTACTTCTACTACTACAAACCACAACAAAAATACTGTGTCACGTCACGCAAAAACCATAACATACCACGTGCGTCTGTTGGTGGTACATGCGTGGGCGACGAAGGTCGAAAACGGCGGCTAGGATTCGGGAAGAAGGGCAAGTCCACCTTTACAGTTCATAGGAGCGAGGAGGTATTGCCGGAGGACACGGCAGGCGGAAGGAGCGGACGACAACCGAGTTCCGCAAGCAGCGACGGCGAGGGGAGCGGCGACGGGGACAGGTCCGAACACACTCTGCAAAAATTTTCACCCCGCCCCTTTTTTTAGTGTCTCGATTATTTCTCCCTTTTGTAACCCTCTTTTGATTTCTCGAAACCCCCCTGTCTGCCTTTCTTTCTTTCTTTGTTACGCGGGAGCGACACGGCGTTCCACCCTGCGCGCGTGGATCATTTTTATCCGGTCTACCGGAACGCGACGGTCGATCGGCGCGTGGTGATACACGCGTGTTTAGATTGTAAATGGATAATTCTTCAGGGCTAAGTTTGTCGATCGTGAACGACGAGATAAGACAAGTCCAACATTGATCTGGTCCAGGGGATGTCGAGCCTTCGGCGAAATGTGAGTACTCTAGTCAGCTGAGAGACAAGTCAAGAAGAACAAGACAGGAACGTGATCGACACGACAGAAAAACAACGACAAACACGCAGCACAGTACTCTCTTTAGAAAGGAATTGTGCTTTAGAGGCGGGGAATTTGTCGGAGACTCTTTTCGCGACTTTCGACGATAAGATACATTTTTCGATGCTGTTTCGTTTTCTGAGGATTCAATGGGAAGGTAGATCATTTTTTCTCTCTGAATCGAAGAATGTATTTTAATGATTGCACGATTTTTTCTAAACAGTCGCGAAATGATCTCTGATCCCGTCTACGCTAGATCGTAGACTGTTTCTACGTAGTAGCGATTCGTAACCCTTAGAGGAACGTTTGCACGAGTTTCCTGAACTGTGTCGAGCTCGATGAGAGATCCTCCATCGAGTTCTACGAAGAAGGAAGCAGAAAGAATCTTGCGTATTAGCTGCTCGAGTACATTTTGTTCATGTCGGGCTGTCGTGTACAGGGTGTTTCACTTGTAACGAGCGTCTCAATTGTTTTCGCTGGTATTGTGATCGAGAAGAGTTCACATGGCTTGAGGTCACCACAAACATCTTGAAATTTAGTTTAAGATCATAATGTCATAGATCGTAAAAAAGCTCGGTGATTTTGGAATGGCCTTCCAGATGATCTGGCAGGGATTTTTTTTATCATCGTCAGGTGCAAACTCTTCTTAATAATTTTTTGAAAATTTCAATATCAGCTGAAACAATTAATACACATTTACACAGTTCGTATACAAACGAGACAGCCTGTACAATTCGTGACTGTAGCTACAACGACGGTCCAGATGAATTTCGTCGCGGTGTCTGTCTGTTTTGTACAGCTTTTCCGACTTTTAGACGAAGCAAGTGGTCAACTTGTTGATCTCGATCGTGGTCGAATCTAGACGGTAGGTAAGTTGACCACATGGTTCGATTGTGATTTATTTTACTAGAGGCCGCTGTTCATACGTGCTACCACGGCTTATTCGTTTCTTGGTGTCTTCGAGCGTTGCAGTGTTCTTATGCGCATTACTTCTATATATATATATAAACATACTTACATCAATATATCTATATACGTATCTCATTACTTCTATCGATCACGAGACAAAAAGAAATGTTTCTACGGAAACTTTTGTACAGAGAAGCAAATTTTTTTCCAATCTCTCGTAATATCAATCATAAACCTTATCACACCTCTATGTTACACGAACACGACACGCAAAAGACACTTGTATGAACATTATATACATATATGTATATGTACCTAGAGATATACATATACGTATAGAGTCGCAGCGAGTTCTCCATAGCAGAAACCATAGATGTGACGTACATATTGTCGAAGGGACACTTTACAGCTTTATGAACGCTTACCACGCGCTTCTGATTGCAGGTTTTCGAAGGGGTCTGAGAAAAGAAATGTTTAACCGTTGCCCTACGATATATTCTCTTTCTTCCAGACGTCGAAAATCTCTCCCAGCCTGGACAAGATATCTCACAGGTCTCTTACTCCGTCGTCCGATTGATTCGATAGCCTTTAATCTAAATCGTCAGACGCACAGTAGTGTAACCCAACTTATAAAAGAGAGCACACTTTCTTACTTCTCGTCTCCTAACCTTCATCGACGATCATTCAACCAGTCATCCAAGTGTACCGGTGTGCGTGCGTGTGTATGTGTTTTTCGGTATCAATCGTGGGTAAAAATTGGAAGGAAAGTGAGAATGACGACGAGTGCAACCAAAAGAAAAAGGGAAAAAAGAAAAGAACAGAAAAGAGAAGATCGTGAAGAAAGTACGCATGTGTGTGTGTGAGAGAGAGAGAGAAATAGAGAAATTTAGATTAATCGAAAGAGAAAGAGGTCTGGTGAAGAATTTCTTTGGAGCTGCGTTTAAACGAGAGAAAAAAGATTTAATGGACCGTTGCAGACGCGGTGTGGGATAACACACAGTTGAAAGATTATAGTTTAGCGGTTGTTTCTTGTTTGGTTTGAAACGCAGAGTGCGGTGGTATCGGCGGGATCTTCGTCAAAGGCGGTGTCGCGGAGGTACGCGCCGGTTTATCGTTGCGGAAACGGAACAGCACGCCGAGCAGCATACAACGTTCCGAGGAGATCGTACCCTATCAACGCTTTGAATCCGGAAAACAGTCTGGATCGGTGGCCAGTGACACAGCCGGAAGTCTCAACTCGATCTCGAGTTCCGAAGGAAGATCGTAAGTAGTGGCCTCCACCGAGCGATTCTGCCAAAAAAACAAAGCCGGAACTGCCGAGACTCCTTGCTGTCTCTCTTTCAACTCTTCCTTCTTTTCTCTACTTCTCTCTCTATCTCTGTCTATCTATCTATCTCTTCTTCTCCTCGCGTTCTATCAACCTCGAGAACTCTTTTCTACACTTTCCAGCAGGGTTAAAGTACACAAGTGAAGAAGATCTTGAGGATATGTTAATTCGAATTAACCCTGCTAACGATTCTATTTCTACTCTCTACTCCCCGTTTCTCAATCACTGTGTCCCTGGGACGAGTTCTTTTTTTATTCTTTACTGCACAGGAGATCGCGAACGTGATTTACAGTGGATCGTTTTTTGTCTTTCGACGTGTGATTGAGCTGATGTGTATGCCCGGCATCGATGTAACATTATTTGGTTCTGCCTCGTTCATGCTTCTTCACCGTTTCCTTATTTTCCGTACCACTACGATCATTTCTCATAGTTTTCTGACTTTTGCCTTTGGTTAAGAGGATTTGACTATGTGGAAAGGAAGAAGGTGGAACATCTCGTATACTTGATTTGAACTTTTCTTTTCTTAAGCGTTTCTTTCGTTTCACATTTTACGTCAGTGTTAATGTCAATGTTTCTCGATGTTATCGTCGTCTTGGCTTATTGCTTGGCTAAATGATCGTCGAAGCACCACTGTATGTATACCCACGCACACACTATGTGTATATACGTGTTCTCCATCGGAATCATTCTCCTAATCCGTACCAAACGAGAGACACTTTTACCCTTACTCTACAATTCTTCACGAGTTGTGCTAATTTTCAGCCGTCCAGCCTACAGTGTACATAATATAGTAGATAGAAATAATAACTGTACGATCCTTTCCCAAGTGTCTCTTTGTGAAAAAAAAAAAAACAAAAATCGTCAAGATGATACATGGAACAACCCCATTCTCCTATTTAAAAAAGAATTTCACACGATACAGCTACGAGGACGATAAACGGAGATTTTACAGAGAATAAAGCAACGAAAGGTAATCCTGAGAGTAAGTTAAGAACGATATTCTCGGTTATGTATCAACGAAGCATGAATAGATCTAGTACTATTAGTCAATTCGACGATAATCAGGGAAACCATGCGTGTAACGATGAATTTTCTGGCACGAATAATTAAATAAAAATTAACGAGACTGATTATCGTTGAAGGTACAGAATTTGGTTATGGTACTTGCTCATAGAATGGTTTGCATGCATCGACAGCCTGCTTCGTTCTCCAAAACCTTACGATTCTCTCCGTACGCTATATTATAGAAAAATTGACTCGCTACACCGACACTACACTCTTGCAGCGTGAAGTTCTTCTTGTCTAAAGAGAAAAAAGAAAAATTGAACTGTGCTCTCTCTATCCGCACTACAGTCGAAGGCTTGCGAGAATCGTCCCTCGCTCCTGCGGAACGATCTTCTATCGTGTTCGTTTATTTGATCCCCTCCCTTTTTCAATTCGAACGAAACCAACGAAGGAAAATATCGACAGAGATCTAGACTGTCTTCGATTGTCAATTCAGATACTTTTCGTTCGTTTCTCTCCACCGCCTCCCCACCTTTTCTTTGTTATTTCTCTTCGTTTTAACCCCTCCTCTTCTCGACACGACACAGAGGACTTTATCCAGCCACTAAACGTTTGATTTTGGGAACTGCAGTTGGTCTCCAAGTCTACGAATAACAGGAGAAACCGGCCCACTGAAAAACTTCATCGAAGATCTTGGGCCTGGACAAGTTGTCGGGAGGCAAGCTCTTGGTGCTCGATGCCTAGGCGCGATTCAGCTCTCGCTCACGCAAAAGAAGGGCTACCTCGAAGTGGAGGTTATACGTGCCAGAGACCTTAAGCCAAAGCAAGGCAGTAAAGTGATTCCATGTTCGTTTACAATCTTTAAACTAGTACTATCCTAGGGTGGAGCCATTTTTATGGTACTTCTTACCTCTTTTAGAGCAAACGATACTATCAAACCGAGCAATGTTATGGCTATACAGAGGGCAGGAAGTTTGGATCGTAGAATTTATCTTTCAACGAGTTCATTCTTTATTCATTATACTTTAGATACAGTTGTTTCAGTTTTTTTACTTATCGAGATCGAGGTACCCTTAACCCTCTGAGACCTGAGAAATTTTACCTTAACCTTCAGAGTGTCGATATTTTAAAAAAATTTCACCGAGTTTTCTTAATTAGAATTTTTATACGCTGATTCGTTTGAAATTTAAAGGGTCAAAATGTGTATATTCGTTTGTGTCAAATTGAAGACTTAACCCTTCGAAACCAGAGATATTTTTCGTGAATTTTCCAGAGTGTCAATATTTCAAAAATGAAACTTCCACCGAGTTTAGTTACTTAGAATTTTTGTATGCCTGTTGTAACTCCCAAACTTTCTGTCACGACTGTATCTCCACCTATTCCCCCACTGTATTACACTAATCTCGAACATTTCTATCGCTCCAGCTTCCTACGTGAAAGTGTATCTGGTGAACGGAAAGAAGTGCATCGCGAAAGCGAAAACGACGACAGCCAGGAAAACGTTGGACCCGTTCTACCAACAATCGCTGTCCTTCAGAGAAAATTGCCGGGGTTGTATACTGCAGGTACATCATTTCTTCACCCTTTCTCGTTCATGATTTTTACCCACTTTAACGAGCCTTTCATTTTTGAAAAAATCATCACCGAAAAAAGGGGTATCTTTAAATTCTTGCTTTTCAAATTGGAGACTTCTCGTCTGAATTCTAATTCAACATTCTCCAACGAGCCTTTTATCTTTTAATCACCGAAAAGAAGGGTATCTTGAAATTTTTGCTTTTCAAATTGGAGACTTCTCGTCTGAATTCTAATTCAACATTCTCCAACGAGCCTTTTATCTTTTAATCGCCGAAAAAAGGGCATCTTGAAATTGTTCCTTTCCAAGATTTAGTATTATAATTCGAATAAATTCAACGTTTGATCCTTATCTCCTCCCGTGTTTCCAGGTGACAGTGTGGGGTGATTACGGCCAAATTGGGACGAAAAAAGTGTTCATGGGCATTGCGCAGATCGTGTTGGACGAACTGGACGCCAATGACCTGGTGTTCGGGTGGTACAAGCTGTTTGGCAACATATCCCTGGTCAGTGGACCTCCATCCCTAGCTTTATCCCGCCGATCCTCAGCCACGTCCTTAGAGTCCGTTAAGATCTAAACGATTCTCCCATCTATAGCATTCTCTTTGCGCGTAACGACGTACAGTAGTTCAAGCTTCTTTATAAACAATCTATGTCCCAGCGATGAAACACGAAAAAAGGCAAAAAAAAAAAAAACAAAAATCAAACCGAAGAAGAAGAAGAAGAAGAAGAAGAAGGAAAGATATCGAGTCCAATTAAATTGATCGCGTTTATCGATATATACTACACACTTTATCCAACAGGAAAATCCTTACATATATACACATATACATACATATATACAATATATCGCTGTACGTATTAATTATATTCGACGAACACAACGCAAGAAGGAACATTAATAGAATAATCGTTGAAATGGTATAAATCGTAAGTGTAAAATCGATCCAACGATCATCACGGTTAGTTTATATACACACATATATTATACACGCGGTCCATATCCGTTCCATTTATCTCCCCTCTACGAACACGCTCGTTCGTTCTGCATTGAACATCGATTTTTATATCGATGCTCGTCTCCGGCTCTGAATACGGTAAAAAACGAACGAAGATAATCCAGAAAATAAACCAAAAAAAAAAAACAAAAAAAGGAAAAGAGAAAAGAAAGGGGGAGAAAAATAAGAACAGAGAAAAAGGGGAGAGAGTTTGCGTGATTTTGGTAATTGGGCAAGCGAGGTCCGTGGTTGTTGGGACAAAAGGAGAAAAGTGTGTTTTATTTGCAAGGTGACCGCGAGAATGGGAAAAGTGTGAAAGGTCGTACGAGAGGACATGTCTTTCTAGAAACACCGCTAGCACATCACATATCATGTACGGCATATCTGATGAGCCGCTAGTCTCCGTATGTAGACTAGATGTAGAGATAGCAGCCATGTACCCGGAGCGCCAGATAGTTTTAGGTACGCACTGAGATCAACGCATCGTTCCTAGATAAGTGATTTCGACGATTTCACGTGGATATTTCCTCTCTTCCTTGATCAACCCTATGTAACCACGTGTCACGTATGCAGCCGCCATATTGTCGCACCGTTGCGTCCCTCGTCAATTTTAAGTCGCGTTTCTTCCGTGAAAATGTGAAACTGCAACCGGCGAGAGATTTTCTTCTCACGAACGAAGAGAGATCGAGTTACGAAGGGTTAACAATTCTGGCTGATTTATATACACTACGGGCTAAAAGTTTGGAATCAGCGTGCACTGCACAGGGGGGAAAGTTTGCAATTTTTCAGAATCTCTTATTTCTCGAAGCGATCGAAACGTGGCAGATTGATATTTGAAATTTTCAGAGGATTCGAACTTTTGATCGACAGTGTATCTATAGGAAAAAGCATAATCGCCTAGAAATGAAGTGAACACAGTAGAAATGGAGAAAGAGTTGCTTAATCATAAAAGTTTACTCGAAAAAGTATCCACGTGAAGTCTATGAACGTGTGTTGTTAAAAATTCCCCTTTTGTTCGTCATTTTACACTGAAATATCCTGCTGCCTTTCTAAATTCTCTGTCTTGATGGCGAATTCTCCCTTCGCGGCAACGAAGTGACGATTCTTTCGTAAATGAACAGAAACTTATCGATCGATAATCGACAATCGAAACTTCGTTGTCACCTTTCTGCCTCTTTAATCATTTCTTTTGCAGAGCATCCATCTCAATCGTACACTCTTTATACCCGATCTGTGTGAATTCTCTCTAAGAACGAACTGTTGTCAACTCGTAAAAAAAAGAAATGACAAACTCGGTGCTTTTATCCCCGTAACTCGCCACGAGCCACGAGTATCTCTAGAAAAACCCCAACATCTGCTTGATTCTACCTCTTAATCTGAATACTCTGCACAGCACTGCACCTCTTTCGCAACCTCTTTCAACAATCTAACAGAACCTCTTCGATCTAACAATGTAGATGTGTAT